GACTAAGCATTAACCTGTTGCCGAATTTCATCCATCCACTGAAAATAATCCGACCCTCCATCTCTACGGGCTTGTCAAAGCTGTGTGTCTGAAAGCAACTCCAGACCCTGCTAATAGGTAATAAATTAAATGGCCAGAATAACCCAAAAAATGGAGAAAAGATTTTGCAAAATCAGCCTGCTAATGTTCTTCAAAGTGTGCTCATCAATGAACAGCTTGCCAAAGCAGCAAAGCCTAAAATTTCATCATTCAACAAATCGGCTCATGGTCTAACCTGTTCAAAGGCAGACCCTAAACTAAATTATTGGCAGCACAATACAGCTAAAACATAAGAGTAAGCCCACTTCCCTTGTTAAGCAAAGGAAAAACAAATTATTAACTTGTTAATAAACTAAACTAATCCAGATCTTCTATTTTCTCCAATCTCCATTTCATGAGCTGGGGACTTCCTTTGCCATTTCTTTACAGTATCTTGAAGAAACTTTGCCTATTCTATTCTTGCATTTAACCTTTTTTTTAGTGTCTCCTACAAGTTAAGATTATAGTTGAAACAACATTCTCCTAAATAGCATTTCAGTGAAAAACTTAAAGGATATAGAATTTCAATGAATGTATATCTAATTTTACTCGTATTTGAATGCGCTCAAATTGAGGCTATGTCTGTCAATTAACAGAGTCGTAAACACATCATAAACATCTAGGAGCTACAACTGCTAAGAAGACTCGGGATGAATACAGCTAATGCAGCGGTGATAACCAACCACTGTCTCTTCTTTCATCTTGTCATGGAAGGTTGACGCTTAAGCAACATGTTAGGAATAATTTGAGGAATACTGATAGCTAGAACTCCATTAAAAGAACTATAATGAAAACTGCAAATGGTACTAACCTGAAAATATCAGTTGTGGACTGTGTAAGTTGTTTCCTCTCCCTTCTAAAAAGATCCTTCCCTCTGGCAAGTTTCAACAGTAACGATAAACATAAACAATACCACTGCATAGTAGACTTGAATGCATCTGCCTAATGGCAGGTTTTCATAGCCCGTTATTCCTATTAGACGTCTACCTCACCTAATTTTAGCAAATATATATAATACCATCTAAGTTTGAATATTAACTAGCTGACTTCTAATGAATACCTTCAGTCGAAAAAATAGAACTACAGTCCAAGAAAATGCAAGTACACCCAGAAGGTTCACAAGGTAATGCTGAAGAGAGTTATATATATTCACATATTAGTGAATCAAAAGTTGAAAACTAAGTTAAGCAATTCTTTTGCACAATGTATGCATTATAACAAATTATTTTATTGATTGCAGCTTCCCTGTGATGGCTTTTTCTATTTTCGTGTATACTAATGGTCACAACCAAATTTTATTTAATACTAGCCTAGACAACAAAAAGAAAAAAGAACTGCAGAGGAGTTGATTATGTGCAATAAACAAAATATGGAGAAGAAAAACAGCCTGAAACAAGATGATTTTTCCAATAATTGCTCACCATCTTTAATTGGACTTCAACATAAATGGCTGTCAAGATATGAAACAATTGAATCTTCACTAGCAGGTGCTTTGAAATTCTCCCAGAAGCCAAGGGTCTCATCGGTCCACCACAGCTGATACCAAAGTTAGGCCATCCGGGCTCTCTAAAACATTGATTTAAGAAATCAGCTACATTTATTTAAGAGTACAAGATACTGGGTTCTACGCTAAAATTTGTCAGATAGTCAAACGTGGGAAAGCTCAAGGACTCTAGAGCTTTGCAGCTTTTAACTCCCCAACATTAGCCGTTGAAGGGTGTTTCCAAAAGCTCCACTCAGTATACGTATCTCTTTTTGATACTAGTTCTGCTCCAGTCCACATATCTGCACATGTAACATCAAATCGCCACAAATAAGGTAAAAACCAAACATTTGACAAGTATAGATGGGCATAAAAGATGTTATCATAGATGAAAATGTTCTAGTTTCTATAGAGAAACTCGTGAGAATGAGAGCGAACTATTTCACATGCCTGTGCTCTAGTATCACTGTTGATGCATGTTCCCCTTTGTTAATTTCATTTCTTAACACATCTATCTTCTTAGGTGTGTCACAATATGCAAAAAGTCGGAATGTCTTCTGAATCCAAACTCGAAACCAAGGTGTGTCAGTTAGTTATGCACCATGATTTTCTATATTTAAGTATAAATATATTAGCAAAGATCAAAACTGAAAGCCTATATTGGTTGCAGTTATTAACTGGTTTATACCAAAAAGTCATACTGAACAAATAAAATTAAGCTTTTCAATTTCATTCGTAAAATTGTGATAACTTCTTTTCAAAACAATTTATTGGCTTTTGGATTATCCAAATTATAAATGAAGGCTGGAAGCAATAACTTGAATGAGCTGATGAGATAGTTTTGGCAAACAATAGCAAAATACAAATAAACAATATCTTTGCTAATTCTCTAGATATAAATATAGAATAACAAATAACAACTCTGGATTATAGTTTTGTTGTTATCAAAAAATGTTGCATCAATCCAAGCGGCTTATCCTTACCAATATATCCTGAAACGAAAATATCATTCAGCTTCTGCACTTATTCAATGTTAAAGAACATGACATAGAAATTGAGACCAAAATGAGATGCATTTGGCCCAGAAATTGAGATTCGGACTTACCAATATATTCATTAAACAAAAGTATAAGATATTGGCTTTGCCCTGCAAAAGAATTTGAATTCCTTATGCTGTCGTTCATCTTCGTCATAAAAGCAGCCACTTCTACTAGGTCCTGCGCCATCATTGTCTAAAACGCTCGGTGGAGTTGTGGTAATCACATCCAATATTCATTCGGAAAAATCTTGAATGGGTCATTCAAATCAAAAGAAAAGCTATAATGAAACAACAAAAGCATATAAAAAATCATGATCAAACAATCAATATATAGAATTAATCAATACAATTCATATGTATCTTGAAAAGATGAGCCTATTTTAGAATATATAGGATTACTATATGGCCAATCATATTTGAAGTACAACTTAGAAACAATTACGTACATGTACATTAAAACATATATATGTTCAGTTGATCATACATAAATAATTTTTAGGATTCAAGAGAAAATTATACATGAATAATTTTTACTTTATTCTCACATTAGTATGTTGATTCTAAAGATTCTTTCTAAAATTTTAAATTATAAAAAGAAGAAATATTTTGATAGTCATCTTTTTCCGAAAACTTACAGAAAAAACTTAAATTTTGAATATAACTAATGTAGAAACAAAAGATTAAAGGAAGAATAATTAATGATACCTTCTAATTAACTTCATTAAATTCTAACAAAATTAATAAATCATCATGTTGGGATTATATATAATATGTGTACCATATTTATTCTAGTTTAGACTATTTAGAGCAACTGAAGATTTAATAAATTATAAATTATCGAGAGAGAGTTTAAAAGGTGTTTAGGTTACACGTGAAATAACTACTTATAATTTCCCCATTCACATTCGTTAAATTATAATAAATCACAATGAGACTTGAGATTTCCTAAGAATTTGTTTGGGATTGTAAAGATATCAAAAGTCTTTGGTAGCTTCTGCAAAATCAAATTTTATAATCAGTTTCATAAAAAGGATTTCGTTAGCTTCTGAAAATCAAAATTCTTTTTAAGTAGATTTTATCAATTAAAGTACAAACTTTTTCAGATTTTTTCATTACATGGACAAAAGTTACAAATCGTTTAATTAAGAGACATCTAACCATTATTAGCCACTAAATTTTAATGTAAAGTGATAATGTGACTTGAATGCCCTTGATTTTTTTTTTTTTTTTTTTCTCTTTTTATTATCATAAGCAGATTTAGTTCTTAAAATCTAAATTTTAGAAAAACTTAAAAACTTAAAAGGACCAAATCATTTTTCTTTTACGGAAATTGAAAAAACGAACAAAAATTAAATTTAAAATTTATACATTAAAAAAATTAAAGATAGTAGGCTTCTTCTTTTTTTTTTTTTTTAAAATTATTGTTGCTATACTTAATTTGATAATTTTTGGATTTTTTACTATTTATTTTGTAAAAAATAATAATATAAATTTTCACATTTATTTAATTTTTAACCTAACTCTAATTAACTAATAATTGTCCCTTAATTGAACAATTTGTAACTTTTGTCCTCTCATTATAAAAATTTGAAAAGTTTATACCCTAATTGATAATATACCTTTCATATATGTATAATGTCAAAAATACCCTTAGACAAGGATATAAATTGCTGGATAAATTTATATTAATTGATTAAATAAATCAATAATTGAGTAAAACTTTGTTTCATAAAATAAAAAATAAAACTGGATTGTAGGCATAGTCGGAGGACCATCACCCCCAACCACGGTTTGGCGACAGACTCTTTTTAAATTTTCTTTAAAAAACTTCTTAATTTATTTTAAATTATTCGTTTTAAAAAAAATATATTAAAAAGTTTTAAAATGTAATTTAATAATTATACTGAATAGATAATAACAATTTAAAAATCTAATTTACCAAAGATTCTAATTTCTAACTTAGCTTAAGTTGATTATTTTCAAAATTGATGGAAGAAGTAAATTTAAAGCTACAACAATCTTAAATTAGAGATAAATAATATGAACATGTATAAAATGAAATTCGAAACTAGAAGAAAATCATTCAAAAGAAGTAAATTTAAAGCTACAACAATCTTAAATTAGACGTAAATAATATAAACATGTATAAAATGAAATTTGAAACCAGGCGAAAATATTCAACAATTAGTCATAAAGCATGAAAATAGTGTAGAGATGTAGACATGAAAATAATTAATTATGTCATGTAACGATTGAAGTATATATGTTATTTAATTACCTTGCGATCCAACACCAATGCTCTGAAAACCGGGCCAAACTATGACCGTTCAAGAGGTCGGTTTTTGGTTTGACCGGTTGGATCGGTCGGTTGGACCGTATTCTATAAAAATAATTTAATAATTATACGTCGAACGATGCCGGAATCCGGCAAGATTGAGCAGCGATTAGACTGCGATTGGATTGCAACACTACAGTATTCCAGCGGCTCGACAACGGTTTAATCCACTTCAGTCCGATCGAACGGTCCGGTCCGATTCTCAGAACATTGTCCAACACATGACCTCGTATTTTGTCTAGGGAAAGGAACTGTTCACCGACAAATAAACGGACCCCACACTTCTTTATTATTAGATCGTTTGGACTGTAGAAATTGATGATGGCCTCCGCAGTACCAGTCCATCGAGAAAATCCAGATATACCGAAACTATATCCCACGAATAAGTGATCCGACTTAATATGTCCAATGTTAAATTGGGCACTATCAAGTGGCTCGCTGCGATTTTGGAATGGCAGACGGAACACATACCCAACAGTCGATAAACCGCAATGGTTTTTTGGAATTCCGACGATGGCACAAAAGACAAAACCAAGAAGCTTATAAGGCATTGTCCCACGAACACGTGGTAGCAGCTCAATGCAGGATCCATTACTTTGAATGTTAAACCACTTTGGAATTTCACTTCCAGGGAAAACCATATAACCTCTGCCAGCTCTGCCAGCTCTTTCTTTTCTCTTTGGAATTTCACTTCCAGGGAAAACCATATAACCTCTGCCAGCTCTGCCAGCTCTTTCTTTTATAGACCGCCTAACCACATAATCTTCGCCAATTCTTAGCTGCACCATTAAAAATTGTTACTTCAAAAATTGTTAATTTAATATAATGCTTTTTATTTATATAAAAGAAGAAGAAATTGAATCATATGCTAATGAGATAGACTGAAACATACCTTTTCAACTTCCATCAGAGCACCTTTCAAAACCATTCTGACTGCATTCCAATCTAGATTGAAGCAATTGATGAAGCTAAGTTCCCCGTAGTAATATCCATCACTCGGACCTTTCATACCAGATAATACTTTCAGCAATTTGCAGCCATCTGCCTTTACTTCTTGCATATTACATGGAAGCTTTGGTAAGGATTGAAGCCTATTACAAAACCTTATGCTAAGTAGATTTAAAGCAGAAAGGTTAATGATGCTTGTCGGTACACTCTCAAAATTGTTTCCATCTAATTTTAAATCTGTGAGGAAGGACAAATGTCCAAGATTATTGGGTAACTCTGTAAGACTGCAGTGATTTAAATTTAATCTCCTTAGAAATAGAAAACCTGGTAAAATAGGCGATAGAGACTTCAGCTCTTGACTCTTACATCTCTCAAACGATAAATGATGAAGATTCTTCAAACGTCCCAGAGATGATGGTACTTCTCTTAAAGGAATTCCATTAGCTTCTAGCACTTCCAAACTTTCTAAATTTCCTATGTCTTCGGGCAATCTATCAAGCTTCAAACAACCAGAGATACAAAGACATTTCAGAGAATTCAATTTACAAACGCCGTTTGGAAGACTCTCAAGGCTTGAACAATTTTTTAGATTCAATCTTACTAGACTGGATGCATTCTCAATTGATGAAGACAACTCTTTTATCGCAGTTCCATCTAAATATAACTCTTCTATATTGCGTGGGATCCCTAGAACAAACTTTAGGTTTGAAAAACCAGAAAGATTAAGCTGTCTAAGGGAATTCAAATTACAAACGCTGCTTGGAAGACTTTCAAGCCTTGAACAACCTTTAAGATTCAGTTCAACTAGCCTCGAAGGATAATCGATGGAAGAAGATAATTCTTTTATTGCAGTTCCATCTAAACACAATCGCTCCATATTACATGAGATCCTTGGAGCAGTGTTGAGACTGGAACAGCCAGAGAGAATAACCTCTCTTAAAGACTTTGATTGAATTCCATTTGGCAGACTGCTAAGGCTTTTGCAATTTCTTAGATTCAAATTAACAAGTTTATTGAGATCCCGAGTTGGAGGAGTGATCTCAAACAAACTTGTACAATCTTCTAAAATCAAGCACTCCAGATTTTGAGCCTCCGAGAGGTCTGGGACTTTAAGTAGATGTTCTGAGTAACTTAGGTCAATATATTTTATATTAGCAAGATCCTATAAAATAAAATAAAATAAGAAAAGATATGAGAAGGACAAATTAGAAAATCTAATATTTAAAATTTATAAAGGAAAATTGTCATATGAAATCAACACATACCTTGATACCAGACCATAGTTGTTCAAGATTGCTTTTACGCATCCTAAGTACAACAAGGTTCTGAGGATCAAATTTCAAAGGCAACGATGTGAAAGGGTAAGAATCCCAAAACAGGCATCTCAACTCTGTGAAATCAAATTCGATGCCTTCAAAACCATGCACATTACTATTGCTGCTTGTATTTACTATCAAGTATCTTAGATAATCCATCTCTGAGAAAGCATGAGGATATAAGTGTAACTCTCTCATTGTAGATATATTAAAGCAAAGGCCTCGTATTTTATCAGTTCCCTACAATCAAAATCAAATGATAAGTTAACAACACAATTACTTAAAAATATATATATACCTTCCAAACCTACCACCCAAGCCTGTTACCATGTGAACTAATGTATAAAGAAATATTAAAGAGTGGTGTTATTTGAACCCCACCAAATCTCTTTCTAAGCCCCAATTTAAATAAGATTAATTAAAAAACTTAGGTTTTATAAATTCTATCTAATCATTTCAAAAATACCAATTTTGTAATCTCTTATGCTCAGTTTTTCTTAACTCTGACTCTTCAAACTATTTTTAATCTCATCTTCTGATTTTATGAATTAAAGAAAAAGCAAAAAAAATCATCGGAATAAGAAAGATAACTGGTAAGACAAATCAAAATTCCTTGTTTGCAAACAAACATCACTCTGCTTTGGCCTGCCTTTGGCTGTATACTAATTCCTTATAGATGTAGCATAAAATTTGATCGAGCAAAAGGTAGATGGGTACTAAAAGAGTACTATAAGAATTGATAATAAGAACACTCGTTCTAATATGTGCAGAGAAGCTACTGACGTCAAAAATTTCTTTTACAATGCCTTTTTCCCATAATTTTTGTTTTCTCGATAAAGAAAGGAACATAAGACTTCTAATAATAGTTTAAATATATACCTCCCAATCCCAATCTCAATACCACATGAAGATGTATAAGGAAAAATTAAAATAATAATCTCCTAGATATTATTTTTCTAGATTTTGAAAATGATAAAAAAAACTGAAACTGAAAAATATTTTTTTTTTTGTATTTACCTTATTCTTTTTTAGTACACCGTAGACATCATTATCACGCCACAATCGACTACGTCGGCCCGGTTCATCTACGGATTCTTTCTGAACAATTTCCTTGCCCATTTCTTGAAGTAAATCATGTACTCTTATGGTTTCCCGTGAAATAGTTATGAGAGCCTTATCAATAAGTACCCTTAATCCAATACTTGAAGAGAATTTACGAACTAGATGTTCATCCCATCCATTAAAGAAGCATGCAACATCTAAAAATATTTTTTTCTCTTCATCATCCAATCCGTCATAACTTATCTTTAACACTGATTGGATATCTTGGTGTGGACAAATTTTTAATTTTTCCAATGTACTTTCCCATTCATGTTTTTTCCTACCACGTAGGAAAGAACCTAAGACTTCAAGAGCTAATGGCACACCTTTAGCATAATTTATTACTCTTTTTGATAGCGCCATATAATCTTCTTCAATGGGATAGTTTTTTTTGAAGGCACGTTGGCTAAAAAGGCAAAAAGATTCACCACTATATAATCCTTTGACCTCATATATGGTAGCATTATCCACCCTACAACTTTCAAGCACTTGTTTATCTCTCGTTGTTATAATGATTTGACTTCCTAAACCCAAGTTTTCAAGGCCTCCAATTAATTCATTTATTTGATTTAAATGTGTTACATCATCAAAAACAAAGAGAACCTTTATCCTTCGAAGTCTTTCTATTGTGGAAGCATCCATTATATTGGGGTGTTCATCCTCTAATATTGTAGAAAGAAGTTCTTTTCGCAAGTGACTTAGTTCACCTTTTTCCGATGCTTCCCTAACATTTTGAATGAAATAAGAAGCTTCAAATTGACTTGAGATGTCGTTGAAAACTGCTTTAGCAAGAGTTGTTTTGCCTATACCACCCATACCCCAAATTCCTACCTGGCATACTTCATTCGTCCCAATAGGCAATAAAGATTTAACTTTCTGGATCTTCCTTGCTATTCCAACCAAGTTCTCGTTATTACTAGAAGACATATTCTTCAATCTCTTCAAGATATCTTGAACAATTTTCTCTATAAGTTTTGATTCAAGCCTAAAATTGAAACAAAAAGTAAAAAGAAAACAACAAGCGTGAATTTAAATGTTAGAGAAATAAAGACAAAGCCAAGTTCCAATAGCCCACTTTTGTCCATACTTGAAAATAAAAAAATTTGGGCTTGATTACAATTAAATTTATTTGATTACACAATCCAAACCTTTTTATTTACATCATATAATAATTAAAGTCCATATTTTACGGTTATCACATAACTATATATGGACCCGTTTGGTCGGAACTCTTAGAGAAGAGCTTATGGCATATAAAGCTTATGCAATAAACCTAAATACAACGTTTTATCAAGAAATTATTGGTTGTTTGGTTATCAATTAAATGTACTGACAGAGCTAGAAATTCAAGTGAGGGAGGGCGAAATTCATAAATGATATAATTTAAAATTTTCAACATAGTGATAAAAATTTTATTATCTATCTAATTCCATATCTCAAAGCTCAGTACAATAAAATTTGATGCTAAAATATAACGACTGTCTACTATTGAATTTACGATATTGCCTTATGAAAAGATTTCTGATTTAGATATCAAACGATTTCTGATTTAGAAATTTTATTTAAGCTATTTTGTTGTGTCTTCATCAAACTACAGAAGTATATATATATTTATCTTGAAAATAAAAATAAAAAAGCCAATAGTAATTGTATATGCATGTATATGTAAAAGAGTTGAATTTCATTGAGAAAATAATATCAAGCGAAAGCATTCACCTAACGACATTTGAATCAAAGCCAGATAGATTGGTTGCGTCCGTCAAAGCACTCCTGCATCTCTGCAACACCTCTTCGCTCTGCCGGCATCGTACTTCATGCTCAGTAAAAGCATCTCCATAAGTCCCGGTTTGCTTCCTTACATCTGATGGATTTACATGATAGAAAACTGGAATCACAATCTGACCATGCATCTTGTTGCAATCCATGATCTTCACGAGTTCATCGAGGCACCATCGAGAAGAAGCATAGTGTTTAGAGAAAATGACAATTGAAATCTTTGATCCTTCAATTGCCTTCAAAAGAGAGAGTGAAATCTCATCTCCTCTTTTAAGTTCATCATCGATGAAAGTTTTAATCTTTGTTCGACACAAAGCAGCATGGAGGTGGCTGGTAAAACCTTTGCGAGTATCCTCACCTCTAAAACTAAGAAAGACATCGTACTTTTCTTGAGTAGGAGAAGACGACGAAGAAGCCATCGGATTTGGGTTGAAGCAATCAGAGTGTTTGTAGATTTGGGAAATGTTCACTGGCCCGGCGTTACAAGACTTTAGAATGGCAAAGCAACTAATTAAGTAATTGACGTTGACTTCAGTCAATGCTCTGTAAGCGTGTTGGAGAAGGAAAGACAATGGGCACCGACAGGGAGGGGCCATCTGCTTTTTTTATTGGCATTCAAACTTGTTTCCGTACCATTAATTTTCTTTCAATTTAATACTATGATGTGGGTATTGTGTCTCATCCTTTTCTATTGCTAGATTTGCTTTTTGGTATTGAAATAAAAAAATCCTTAATTGAATATAATATATTTAATGGTGAGTAATGCTATGCTTACTCATAATTTTACTAATCATCTTACAATCTTGAAAAATATAATGGCATAGTATAGGTATCATATACATAATAGCTATACTATGCCATTATATTTATCAGGATAGTAAGATGGTTAGTAAAATTGTGAGTAAGTATAGTTTTATTGTTTAATGATACAGTTTTTATACTATTATTTTCTGAGTAATGTTAGATCGACAACTTTTTTTATAAGTTTTTTTTATAATTCTAACGTAATAGTTTTTAATTAGTCAATTCACAATTAATTAATAGAACCTATACGAGACTCATATGAGATCTATTATGAACTGACCAATTACGAGCTATCACTCAAAATTATAAGAGAAGATTGTTAGTACAGTATTATTTTTATTTCTAAGTTTGGGGCCATCAACATATCCTTTAATTTCTTGCTTTGTTTACTGTCAGTCTATTGTCCATCCCTTTTTTATCCACCTTCTATTTATTTTTCTCGTTTTATAAAAAGCTTGGAATTTAAACAAAAGAGATGAAAACATTTCAAAACTCGTTAATTCTACATTTCATTAACTAATAAGGCCTCTCGGTTGCCATTCTCATAAGTACGGAGGTTTGCTGTGATTAGGTGATTTACACGATTGACATTTCTTAGAAAAAAAATGGCCTCCATTTTATTCCTTCTATTAGCCAAGATCAATAATGTTGACAGAGTTAACATAACATTATGTGATGGAAATAAATTAAGATTTCATATTTCATTGTTTAGTCATCTTCCAGGAAGGAGGGCAATTTCCTTTTCTATTTTAACTTTTTCAAATCAGCATGTGAGGTTGAAGCCATCTTACTCAATTTCCAAAAGAATAAACGGCATTTTCCCACCCAAGATTATAAAAGCCTGTAATTGCAGAACTTTTCGTAAAGCGGTTGCCCACTAACTTTTTTTGGTCCCATCTTCTTTTCTTTCTTTGACTCAAAATTATAAAAGCCTGCAATTGCGTGAACTTTCCATGAAAGTTGTTTCCCACTTAACTTTTTTTTGGTTTCATCTTCTTTTCTTTCTTCGACTATCTAATCTGTCTTTGAAATTTTATTTTATTTTCAAAATATTTTTTTTTTTTACTTATTGCTGTGGCAGCAATAATATAATTTTACTCTTTAGAATCGGAATCCCAATCTCCAAAAGAATAAACGACATTTTTCCACATGAGGTTTGGCCTAAACACACATTCCCACTCGAAAAGCCTTAAAACGACACCTTCTCACCCGCCATCAAGATCTATTAGTAAAATATCTTAACTCTGACACAGTATAATCAGTATAAAGATGAAAATATTTTTTACTATTTGAATCCAAATCCAAATTCTTAGCCAAACTAAAAAAATTAAAAACTAAAAAAAAATAGAGTTGGGTGCGACTCCAGCCGATTCACACCTAGCCAAGGGTGATTCCGCTCAAATCACACCTAGCCGGATGCAAATTAGTCGGAATCACACTCAACCTTCTCACCACAATCTTCTCACACAAATCAACACACAAAATCCCAGCCCAATCTGACCCATAACTTTTTTTTCAAATCAAATTCCAAGCAACTTCCTTTCACACAGTAAAAAACGATACAAAAACAAAACTTAACCAACTGAAAGCTTCAACTTAGCAACAATGGCGAAATTGAGTTATTAATCCTTCTTAAAAATGGAAAAAAAAAAATGATAAATTAAAAAGACTATGGAAAAGAGGGAGAAAAATAATTTTGAATGTTAATTACGTAATGCAACACACTCACAAGTTTTATTTAATTAATCTATCCAAAAATGATATAATTACATCATTTATACATTAATTCGATATTTAAGTGAATCATACATTTTTTGAAATTGAAATTGAGGATAACACAATGAGATGTGTGGCATTCTTTGGTGGCAGAAACGTACCTATCATTTGTACACATACCAAATGGTAAATTTCACATCATGTCATCTACATGCTTTCTTCAAAGGTAAATGATATTGGAAAATAATATGCAATAAATAGCATAAGATACACATGAAATTTCTAATCATGTAAGATAACAAAATTCAATGGTTTATCACACGAATTTACCTAGTGGCATAATCTATTCATATGGGATTGTATACCTAATACCATGGTTTTAAAACCCGGACCAGCCCGGCCGATTGGACCGATTGGACCGAGACCTGAGGCCTTCTCCGAGTCGGGTTATTCTTTAACTATTTCAAGTTTGAAATCTAGCAAACACACCCTCTGGCCAAATGCAAATCGACGATGACCTCCCCTTTTCCAGTGACCTTCCACCTTCCCTTGTTGTCGAAAACCACCTTCTGACTTTCTCCGGGGTAGTGACGCTTCATCTCCCGCCATCGCATAATGTTTCATCGTTCAACAATTTTTCTTCCATTTCCCGATATTGATAGGCCTCCTCAGTCATTGATCTACCTTTTCCCAAGCTCCATTGTCGTCATTCACAAAGATCTATAGTCATCTCGCCAAAAAAAGCCATTGCAACCATTGACTTCCACCACTGATCTGTCATTTTTTGGCGATGCCTCAACTTGCTAACTGCCGATTCGTCCTCCCCATCACCTAATCTACCCTTCCTTGTGTGTCATCGTCGATTTGCATTTGATCAGGGTTGTGTTTGCTAGATTTTAAACTTATAGGAGCTGATGGTATTTATTAGGGGTGTGTTTGCTAGATATTAAACCTATCAAACCATTGGTTAAACCACCAGTTAGACCGGTTAACCTGTGACTTGATCGTTGGAACGGGTCACCCCCCGCGTCAGGTTTTAAAACCTTGCCTAATACTTCTTCAAAATTGAAACTTAATTATGTAATGTTGTCATTAGGTAATTTACAGGGTTGACATTTCTTAGAAAAATGGAAGTAGAAAAAATGGCTTCCATTTTTCTCTTTTTATTAGCCAAGATCAATAATGTTGACAGAGTTAATTAAGTAATTAACATGAGTTTATGTGATGGAAACAAATTAAGATTTCATATTTCATTATTTAGTCATCTTCCGGGAAGGAGGGCAATTTCCTTCTCTTTTAAGTTTTAACTTTTTCAAATCAGCATGTGAGGCTGAAGCCATCTTACCGAATTTCACACAAAAAACCCAATCTGGCAATCTTATTGTTAATATATATAGCCAACTTTTTTATTTTTTCTCTTTTCAGCAGATAATAATTCTGGCCACCCAAGGCTTCTCATATGCCTTCTGTTCACAGTCAACAACCAAATCAAATAGTAATTATATTTTAAACTGGACACTACGAAATTCATGTAGAATCTGAACTGCCACATTCTAATATAAGTTTATGGACAGATTTTGAGAATCTATACAAGATTGTTAATTCACACATTAACCTAATTCTTTCTATTTCCTTGCCTCCTTTACTCCCATAGGAAGATAAAATCTTCTTGCCGTAAGATGACTCCAATCCAATCTCACTGCAAATGTAATAAACTTTGGCATCAAGACTCTATGGATGTTAGCGGCCTTCAAAATGTTTATCCAGCCTCAATATCTCAAAAAATAAATGTGTAATCCAAAGAACAAACGCTAATAATTATAGCTTTAGATCAATCAACAGAATTGCCAGACTCAAGCTTTACACGCTTTGAGTGAGTTTCCTTCATCCAGTCAAGGCAGTCCTCAGCAGTCCCAGAGGGATGGGCAAGCTGCCATGCAAGCAGTTTTTGTTGCTGCAAAGTAAAGAATTAATTAGCATTTGAAACTTCAAAACTTTTTTTCTTTTTTTGGTTCTTAGATGCATAAAGATTGCCTTACCCACTCCCTAACAAGCGGCCCTCCAGATTTAAGCTGCAAAACACTCATAATCTCCTTCCCATTAACCAAAGGTTTCACGTCCCACACTTTCTCAAGACCTGCATTTCGACATAATTTGAACATCAGATAAGACATGTTGAAATTTTGTTCATATACAATATCAAGCATCGCGCTTGTTTGCTATAATTCGTCACCATGTTGTACATTTCATTTCTAGCAAATAAAGGGTCATCCATTGATTTCAATCTTCTAATGGATATTTTCATCTTCAATGTAATCGTATTCTAAAACCAATTTAAAACATTTTTTTGTTTTTTTAATATTAAGCTATCATAGCAACTATCTAAATTGCTAGCTGGCTACTCACACAGTGGCTATGCTTAAGCATCAATGAATTGTATTGCTTAAACTTTTGGGTTACAAGTACAAAATAAAAAAATATATTTAGTAATCCATATTCTGGAGGGTCAAACAAGTACTACCAAGTATGAATTAACAGCGAACTGTAAGGACTATAGAAAGGAGCATTGGCCATACCTAGTTTAGAAATCGCATTCTCAACTGCCTCAAATAAATCTCGTCTTTTGTCCAGTTGAAAGTGCTCGTTTAGAATATCATCAGTATGGTCAACATCAGTGGGATATAACAAGGTAGACATTAACAAGGCAACTCGCCAAAAATCTTTGATTTCTCTGAGAAGAAATCCTGCATAAATAAGAAATAAGAAGTCAGCCACAAGGAATATATGTAACTCAAGGTATACCATGCCAGAAAATGTGCTTGTAACAACAGAAATACAATAATTATGCAAATATCACGTCAAGAGATCCTGTACAAGAAAAAAATGTTTTGTTTTTGCTATCATAAAAACCTAGTCCACTTCTGTCATTCTGCTTCATCATTAATACACATCTTTTTACTTTGTATCAGAAATATATAAATAGTAAAATGTGGAATTCATCAAGGCAACTAATATGATTATATATGCCTCTATAATCTTATGAACCTCTATAATCTTATGAATACATTGGAAAGGGAATCTTAAAAAGATAACTCCTGAATAATATAATTGATCAAAATGTCAACTTCAAGAGGACATGTTTGAAAGTACTTCCATGTCAGCTATTCAATGTTTTACTAGTGAAACTTTTCAATCTCCATGAAAGGTCTGAATCATGGTATAATTATTCTTTTTTGATTGGTCAAATGAAAGTCAGGTTTACGCACATCTTTAAGGAGGAAAATCCTTATGGATAATTTTTAGTTGATCTAGCACTTTTAATAGTGGGGTCTTCCCCCATGGAAATTGCTTCTACATCATGCAAGATTTTTAGGGTTTCCCAGATGTAGAATTATTAAAATTGTTGCATCACAGGCATCTTTATAATTCTCCCTTTATGCTTTTATATAGGCTTCTTCTGATAGGTTAGGCTTATTACTACCCTACCCCTTTCTAGGCGTTATTTTTCTTGCTTAATAAATTTTCTTGGACCACCAAGATCCAGGAGACAACTAAAAGCAAGACCCTTTCAAAATTACTAACATCAGCAACTTCATACCTGTCAAAACTCGCAGTTTCAAAGGAACAGAATCATCAACCAATTCTCTACCCCAATCAACTTCAATAAGTTTGACGTCCTCAGTGGATACAAGATATGGAATCAAGGATAAGAATTTCTCCAATGACTTGTGAATGTTTATTACCTAGAAAGAAAAGAAAAACCTAATTTATAATACAGCTAGAGATTCATGAAGTCTTGATACAGGTTGACAAAGTACACTTTAGGACAAAGATGCAAAATTAAGAAATAAGAAGAAAGTATATTTAGGCATACTGTTTCAGCATCACTGGCTTTTCGCTTGAGAGACTCCCTGAAAATGTAGTTGACAATAGGCATCTGCATGAAGGATAGAGGTTTAGCCTTTAAGCCGCAGATAAATGAGATTTTGAGAATTGATGCTTAGATGTAAAAGCACAGATATCAGTATTCTTTTAAGCAGCAAACGAAAGAGATTTTGTGAATTCATGTGGAGATATAAAAGCATAGATATCAATATTAAAACTTTATACCCACCATTCATTACATGCACCCTTATCTCCCTCTCTTATTTACTATAGTGGCAGACTTTTGGTTAAGGCAGTTCAATCCAGAGCTTATTCAAGGCATTCAGATTCTTCTTTGTTTTCTATACATATCAACTGGAAGAGTCTTGGCCTCTTGGGCTGATGTTGCAAGAAGTTGCCAGGAGCAATATACCTCAATTTTTTGTTCATATTGCTTAATATATTGTGAACTGATTTTTTTTTTTTTTTTGCGAAAATTTGCATTAGCTTTTTGTCCCCCTCTCAGAGAAGTCTCTTGTTAATATAGCAAGTAGTTTCTCTAATATTAACACAATTTTTCGGTTTTCCAATAATAAAAAAAAAAAAAAAAAAAAAAAAAAAAAAAAAGTTCTCAATAGAACTAGATGCTTGCAAGAGAAGACATCACCTTATGAATTACAGCATCAATACGGACTTAGGACCACTAAAAATAAGGTAACACCCAATTAATAAAGTTCTAATCTCTTGCTTAAAATCTTCCATATATTACCTTGTATCAAATGTTGACCTTACACTTTTATTGGAAAGGCTCACCAAAGTTCAGTCAAAGGGACTCTATAATTCCAGATATTCTCTTTAGCCAGAGCTTATTAAGATTAAATCCACAAAGTCCAAAACTCATGATAAATTCCCAAAAATTTTGAACCCTAGTGACAGTTGCTGCAGTGAAAAAACAATAAGTGGCCAGTTTACAGATATAAAATATTAATGAACATCAAAATAATTCCAGCTACATATACAAGTAAAACGTATAAGCCCAATGCAAACATTGTCAAACCTCACCAAATATAACATGGAAGTATATAAATGAAAATCAATGCTACAGCACAAGAAAACAAACACACCTTTTTGGCTTTGTTATCCTTATATGTGATCTCTTTGAATGGGAGAAATAGAGCAGCATACAGGGAAAGCCTTCTTTGCTCATCCTACATTCACATATGACAAGAATATGTAAATTCAAAGCCTAATACAATAAAATATAAAAATATAAAACATTAGAAAGCAAGAATAAAATTAAGCAAAATAAACTGAGACCATGATCAGCATTAGTTGCCACCAAAATGGAACAAAAATATAAAATGGAAGATAGCACTGACACTTAAGTTCGAACACCCGATTAATTGAGTAAGGTTCCAAGCAGCATCCAAGTAAGCAATGCAAAGCCTATATAAGCAAACAAAAGATTATAAGTGTGATACAGACCCATCTAGTTAATAGCTAAACTACATATGCTATAAAATTCTCATGGCCCAATAACACTGATACTTAGAAGGATACTGTCTAAGCAAAGTCAAGTAAGAAAAAAAGTTAAGATGCAAAATATAAAGAACATAAAAAATGATTAAAAGAAAGATATCAGTAAAATCTAGTGGGTTTTCCCATCAGATAATATTATCAATATTTTGAATTCTTGAACAAAACATGCCACAGAAATGGAAAACAAATTGCTAATATAAGAGTTAAAAGAGATCAATAGAAGCAATATCTTTACGACACAAGTACTAATAACTTGGAATCCTGTACTTATGTTTCTAATGCAACATATTCTCAAGATCCCGCTTCAACAAAATAAAAACCAAGTACAAAGTGATTTCAGACAACAAAGGACAAAAAGAAAGATAAAGATAAGCAATCAAAATAGAGAGAGAGAGAAATAGTAGAAGAGACAAAAATAAGAGAGAAACAGATTGCAAAGAATTGAGAAGATAAGAGTAATATTAAAAATTTAAATATTAAAAGATAAGGGCTCTTGGCACCACATACTGACATACACGGGAAACAATTTTAAACCTCTCAGACAACATATAAATTCAATGAAAAAGATTAAAAGATTTAAGAAAGAAAGTTGATATAATGTCTAATTTACTGCCATTGTCACAGTACACCACATCATTTGAAAATTACAAACTCTGATCTGGTCTTCAGTTTTTTCAGTTTGATCTCAACCTCTTGAAAAATTTATGTCCCAGTGAATTCACAATTCAAAAAAGATTACCAAGGACAGATCTTATGATATATGATAATTTTGAACAATTCATACCTATCACATCCATCTGATACTGCAGGCTCAGATTTAGGAGGAAGATTAAAGACAATCCAAAAAAGTGTCAAATCACAAATGTAGGTCAGTGCTTTAACTGGTTGATTGCCAGAGACCATGAGATCAATCTGCACAAACAAATAGAAACAAGCAAATAATTAAATAATAATTTCACACTACATATTGTAACCAATTAAAATTCCTCATAATCTACATGAACTTGTGTTCCCAGAAATCATATTATATTCCTAGAAACTACCATCTGAAAATTGACAATGAACATACTTCTGTTCCAATGCGCTCTTTGCTAATTTTGGCTGCAAGAGCAGCTTTCACCTCATCACAGGCAGCAGCTTTTTTTAGCTCTTCATCTAGTATGAATCCAAATCTTGCACCTAATACGAAAACAAACAAGCAAGTTTGAGTATAAAAACAAGTAAACAAGCAGGAAAATGGTGAAATCATTCAGCCAAATTCAATCATAAGGTGTACCAGGAACCTTATGCAGTACAACAAGATTGGTAATGAAATGCTAAGGTTAAATTATGATAGGCATTCACTCAATGTTCACCACGTGCAACAGTGTCGCCTTGCCTACACAGCATTAGCCATCAGAAAAGCAATATCTAAAACAAGAACTTGATATTTAATATCAAGGCTAAGAAAATTTTGTCATTCAGGTGACTGATGCCAGGTCACGGTCTTGGTAAGAAACAACTACTGGATCGCAGTAATACCTTCCTTAAGATCCAACACCAGTTCTCAACATTCACATTACAAATAGTCCAATTTGGGCTCAATGCAACCAGATATTTGAATGAAATCTTGCAGTATGTAATATTTTTTTGCTAATTCTTGATGTGCACATCTGTGTGTGTACCTATATAATCACCAACTGATTTAGTTAAAAAATGCAGTGGAAGGGAAAAAGGCCAATGGTGAACGCTGTGTTAGACATAAAGGCACATAACTAAAATTTATTTGGAAAAATTGAGAAAGTACCAAAACGAATAGCTCTAAGAACTCGAAGGGGGTCATCCAAAAATGTAGCTTTTGGAGGCAATGGAGTCACAATTTTTCCAGATTTTAGATCTTCAATTCCTGAAAAAGTTTTATAGGTAAGGCAAAATAATAATAACGAGAAGTTTTAACTCTGTGGACAAGTAGTTCTTGAAAAGATAAAAGCAAATAAAAGTACATATCAACCTCTTCCAGTAAGATCTTCAACAGAGCTCGTGTTGATATTGTAGAACAAGCTGCCGAAGGAAAAGTAAACCCCATTATTACAATAATATGGAATTACCTTTAAAGTATGTATAACAAGAAGTCCAAGGAAGTTGTATACAACCAAAGGAATGATTTACAACAGACAAATTCTAAGCATTTAATGAGTTCTACCAAGTAAAGCAAAATATTAACAAGACATGAATTATTCAGAGTGATGATCACTTTTAAAAACCAATATAAATGGTATGCTTTTAATTTCCAGTATAGAGATTTAGCCACCTATCCTACACAGGAAAGAAAAGATACCTATTAATGGTCAGATCCCTTCGATAAGCATCTTCTTCTGCTGTGCCAAATTTCTGCGATGAGGCATGAGTAAACTTAGTCATTTCATCATCAAAGATCAGATTTCATTTCTTCATCTTTACCAAATATAATTGGATATGCAAATGTTATAGAGATTGCAAATGCATAATTGTGAAAAGAATATCCTTGAAAAGTTCATTGACGACAATGGAACATCCACAAAATAATGAAGCTTGAAAGACCTTTGAAAAAATAAAAGAAACCATAAGTATAATAAAATAAATAAACTAATTTACCAATTACTAAATCCTCATCTATGCCTTATAAAAGCATTCCAAATTGAGAAAGCAGAAATGATGGCAGTAAGGTATTATAAAAAGTTTTAAGAGAGTATAATAAAGCAAAAAGCTTCTAAGCACTGAATAGATATATTTAGGCAAAAATGAGTAACAAAGTAACAGAAGTTGAAAATGTGATTAACAGTTTACCATTGTTGGAATGCGGCTATTCTCGCTGTAGTCTTCACATCTTAAGTTTACAAAATCAATCCATAAATTAAAAAGGTACATCCTTGCCGTCTCTAAGTGTTTGGACTGATCTGGGTTACTGAAAGTTTGAAATTAAACAGTAAATTGTCCAGAAGTAACGAAACAGCACACAAGATTCAAAAGCTTAACATCCATAATTCCATTGTTAAAATCATTACCTGAAAAATTGTATCCAAAAAACATATTCAATGATATGAACATGGATATGCATAAGCCAAAAAAAAAAAAATATATATATATATATATACTCAGACCGGAATAAGGATATTTTTAAATGGAAAAGGGAGAAACAAATAGGGAAGGAAAAGCCCTCACTGATAATTATACGTCAAGCAAAGGACAAAAACATACCACAGTAATCAGAAAAAGATGAAAAATAATTCATATTCAACTGACAACAAGAAGCAAATTAGGCCAACGAGGACATATAAACTTTATATGCCAAAAATTCTTATAAATACTATATTAACAAGAGGTTTATAGTGATGATTTATCAATGTCTCACAACAAAACTCCAGAATTTAAACAAACAACAAAACTATCCATATGTATGTCTGTATCACATCAAAATTTAAAAAACGCTTCTTTGTTAATAGTGATGCTTTATCAATGTCTCACAACAAAACTCCAGAATTTAAACAAACAATAAAACTATCCATATGTATGTCTGTATCACATCAAAATTTAAAAAACGCTTCTTTGTAAATTCTCAAGAAAGTTTTTGTAAATTCTCAAGAAAGTTTTCAGTTTCCATTATATTTTTTATTCAATATCAATCCACTTATTTTGAGTAGGAATTAAGAAACCCTACAGAGTAAAAATCAACTCTAAAAAAATTAACAGAACTGAACTAAGAGATTAATCACTAAGATATATCATACATTATGTCAATTCTTAGCACAAAAGAAAGAAAAACACAAATGGTGTACCTTGGAATAACCCCTAAGCCTGAAGGCGGCTTTTCACCCGTGGACGCCACATACTCAGCCACCTTATTCGCAAATTCACTTCCCAACATGTTGTTAAGCGCAATATCAATGTCATAACACTCTTTCCCCAGAAGCTGTAAAGTACAACAAATTAAAGCTACAAAATTTAAATTTAATTTCAATGAAAAGCAAATTTAATAATATATAACGAGTCCTCAACCTTGTCACGGACCCAGCCACCAGCTACTCGAAGCTCGGTTTTGAGATTAAAGTGGCGAAGAGTGTTGAGAAGGCTATCAAATATCTTCTTCTCCGTTTCCGTTAACTCAATCTTCTCCTTCACTTGAACCACCACTGGCTCTGTCATCGTTGATTTCCAACGCGAAAACCCTAAATTTCTGGTTCTGCTTTGGTTTCGAAATGCGAGGGTTTTGTCAATGCGCTGAGGAGTTGGAGAGAATACAAGAAGTGGCTTCAGTTTTATACAGCTGCTAGCAAGTCTCATATTCAAGGTTTGTATTAAGATAGAAGAACCTGTTTGAAATAAAAGTAAAGTAAAAATATCCCAAATTCAAAAACAAAATTTGGGCTTTTTAGGCAAAAATTGAAAGTGAAGAGAGCTTTTTTTTTATTTTTCCTCAGGTTATGGTCTTTTTTAAATACAAATAACTTTTTTTTTTTTTTTATGGAAATGAAAAACCTCACCGTTTTCAGAGATTCCAAGCGCCAGCGAGGGCGGACGAATCCGCCAAAAGCTGCGTTGCCGCGAAGTGAAGTGGAAGATACGATGTCGGTTCTCTTCGTGGCAATGCGGCGACAGCGACGGCGGTGCTGCTTGGTGTCGGATGAAGAAGGGACAGCTGCTGTGTGACCTCCGGTAAGCAATTCGAGTTATCAGTTACATATGATACGGCTGAATTACATATACCTAACCAAAGTTTAGCCTAAAGTCCCGGTACCCTCACTTTAAAGAACCATCAATATTCCACCCTTCGTTTCATCGTTTGTGGCTGGCTGTTAATGGATTTTGGTTCCTGATCCTGACACCCTGCAAACCATGTAATCACCAAATTGCCCCTCCCTAACAAAAATTTATGATGTAAAAAATTAATAAAACATTGGCAAACTCAAAATTAAAATAGTTTATATATTTAATTACCCAGCATATTTAAAACTTTAAACAAAACTATAAAACCAAATTTACAACAAAAACCAATACACAGCTCAGAGATCCACAAATTAAAAATAAATAAATAAATAAAAACGTACGATTAAAATTACAGCTGTTCAAGGATTGCTTGATGGAAGAGCTTCCGTCCCAGAACAAATAAGCAACCTGATTAGAGGAAGGTGGGGGGCTTTTGGGGGCTGTTAAGTTGGAGGGAGTGGAGTTGGCGGCCTTTGATAGGATAAAAATTGGCTTGAAGGGCTCGTTGGGGAAGGTGGAGAAGGGTTGTTTTGGCTGCAGGCGATGAGTGATTTAGTTTATTTTGATAGTTTTTTGCTTTGTTTTTTTTTTTTTTTCTATTTGGTTTCTTGGTTGTTTTTTTTCTCTTTTTGGTTTCTTGGTTTAGTATTATTAATCTGCCCGGGTAGATGCTGGGTCGTATTAGTCCCCGGCGTTTGGCTGCCGGCGATGAATTTTCTTTTTTTTTTTTTTTACTCACAACAGTGGGGCAGTTGCGGCATTTGGTTGCCGGATTGGTTGAATTGAATGTATGTAAAAGAGAAAGATTAGGGTTTTAAGTTATGTTTTTTGTAGATATATAATAATATAAATATATGATAGATAAATAGACATAAATACCCTTATACCGTTAGACTTTACGTTGAAAATTTAAAAAAAAAAAAAAAAAAAAAAAAGGGAAAATTTGATGGTTTTTGAAAGTGAGGGTATCAGTTGTATTTAGGCTAAATGTTGGGTTGGAAATGATTCGGCCAATCTGTACTTATTAAAAAGAGTTAATACCACGAACTTTTTTCGAAAATATAGACCCTATAATTATGAAAAATAATATTTACCTCCCCTAAAATCTCACAAAAATACACTTACCCACTTGGAGTTTATTTCTTGATACACGACGAGTCATTCACCTTTTTAACACAATAAAACTACACCTTAGTATGCGCTAATGTTAACGGAAAAACTAATAAATGGGAATAGGCCTGCAACGGGTTGGGATCTCATTCACCCTCCCATCCTCGTCCTCAAATCACTTTCCACCCCTGCCCTATCCCTATGACGGGATGACCACGACTTCTCCTCCCACGCACTGAGGGATGTTGGAGGTTTGTCCTCACCTTGTTAATTTTATATAAACATCATAATTAAGTATTATTACTATATAGTTAATTCTCGTCCACAGATAAATACTTAAATTCATCGTTTAAACATAGTTCAGTCTTCTATACCATTACAAATACTTTAATTAATTGTTTAAACATAATTACTTTTTACATAAACATAAATTTTAGATTTTCCTTGGTTTTCTTTAGAACAGAATTCTAGTTTTATATAAATTGATAATCGTTAATTAGGTGAAATATAAGAATATTATGAAAGCAAGGAACAGGCCTCATTCATCCGATTAAAACGCCCACCCTCTATCCCTCTTTCTGAAAAATTTGAGGCTTTTCCTATCCATATCGATGGGATAGGACGGTTCCCAAAAATTCCAGCGAGCAGTGTCATGCCTAAATGGTGTTTTATGCTCCTATTTTTGAACGTTCAAGTGCTTAAACCTCATCTCTGTGAACACCTGATGGGTCCTTTTTGGGGGAATCGACCTCAATTTGTAAGCTTTTTGTAGTTATAAATTAATTAAGTTATTATTTTGTCTTTATACTTATTTTAATCATCAATTTTGACTAGTAGTTTTGTAGCGCAGGGGACAAAGATTATGGATGGGAGGTCCACCCTAAGCTAATTTGAAGGGAAGACCAATTTCCCCTCCTCCTTGTTTGAAGTAAGTAACAAACGTACCCATAATTATGAAAAGTCAAAACACACCCAAAAATTTAACCGACATTATGAGTTTTAAAACTTTGCTGTGAAAAGACTTTAATACCTGTGTTATTTATAATTTTTCATATTTTCTTTTATTTTTATTTTAAGTATATAATTTAATTCATTATTAATTAGCATGTTATATAATAAAAATATTAGCTAAATAAAACTAAATTAAAGAAATAATATAATTCTTTACTTTGCAATAAAATTGGTTATAAATTTCACTATCTATGTATGAAATAAAAATTGCATAAACAACAACTGAAAATGAATACTATAATATATAAAAGATTTAAGGTACTATATTTTGGTATGTAGGGTAATAATTTCATTAGGGCTTGTCATTGTTTTGGTGTATTTTGCGTTACTTTTCAAATCCTTGGTTTTGTTTCTTTCTAATTACCCAAACTTTCGAGGAGGAAATGTCATAGGCTCAGATCATTTGTAATTTATGGTAAGTGGCGTTGGGCTCTAGGCGCTTTCGAATACTATGACATTTCCTTGAGAGAGGAGTCTTGCATCTTTATCTTCTTCTTTGATTAAATAAAAATTCTTGTACACAGTAAAGTAATGGGAGATTTTCTAAAATCCCCTTGGTTTGTCTATTCATTTTATGGCACTTTTCGGCAAAATTTTGAATGTACACGAAACTAACTTTTATCAATTCTTAAACTACGGGGGTATTTAGTGTCAATTAAACATATGAATTTTGTATAAACCTATCGATTTAACTATTGTAAGTAACGGTTTTTCCTTCCCAGATATGTTTTAAAATAACTAATTTACTCCTATCAAGTACTAACTATCCATGGTATATATGTAATATAACTGCATGACCTTAGACCACTCTACCCATTGCGCCAATTTTGTGTAATTTGTATCAAATTGGTACAAATTTTTGTACAAAATACTATTCCATCTCCAACCCCACAACACCAAATATTACACTAAAAAAGAATATCTTTTTTTCTTTTAATTGTAATAATCCCATTTTAGCTATTCACTCATTATTTTTGTAATATATTAATAAATAGTAGAATGATATTTTTATTAACTATAATATTTTATGTTTCAAAATTTACCTCATTTGAATACTTAAAAGCATGTATTAATCAAAAAACTTACATTAATATAGAAAACCTGTACATCTAATATAAAATGATACAAAAAAAAAAACAACAACAACACAAAGGTAAAAATTCCATATTGATATAATTAATTTTTCGAATTGTATATTTCTTCCCACAAAATTATCATTATGCATTTCGAAGAGCATGGGCGCCTCTGTAATCCTGCAAGAAATTGAATTCTATAACCGATCCAAGCCTATTGAGTTTTTTCAAAATGAGCAATTAAGAATTAGCAAAAAGAGCTCAACAGCACAGTTCAAGATCTCAAAATAACTCTAGTTCTTTTCAATATTTTGATGATCTTATTGATCCGAAACTAATCCACCGTAATACTAATTGTTATTTTGAGTTTTAACTGTTTATTTCTTTTGATTTTAGTATTTTTAAATGAGTTTTTAATTTTTATTTTGAGTTATTGTAGTTTAATATTTTCGTTGAATAAAGTTCTATTTTTAATTTTTCATCATTTCTGTAATTATATCTTATTATAAATACTAATCAATTTAAAATAAACTACAATACTCAAGATTTGGTGTAACATGTAATACTCAATTAACTTAAAACAAATTTACAACAAAAAACAAAAAAAGCAATTAAAAAAATGTTATATATTTTATTCGCTTTACAATGTTTTGCACCATTTTGACATGGTGCTACATGCCAAACCAATTTGGCGTAGCACCCACCACCACGCCAAATGCGTGTGTTTTGGCGTGGTTTGATGCTCCAACCCACGCTAATTTGATGTTTTTTTAATGGGTGGGTTGGAGATGCCTTAAAGTTTTTGGATTATAGCTGATATATTTTTGCCAAAGGTGCCACAGTTAATGACTAGGCTAAACCTCAAAGGCTGATTTTATGAAGATCTCCGGTAAAATACTTTCGAGCATATGTGACGAGTTGATACAAAGATGAAATTATTGTCCCAACTTTCATGAGAAACGTGAATACTTTGTAAATAACTTTACCTCGCTTCGAGCAAAGCAATTCTTTTATCCAACATAAGTAATGCAGAGTGGACTCGCTACCCACAATCTGCTGGTTAGATGTTACAATTGTTTAATTTTAAAAATATTTTTATTGAAATGAATTTATTATTAATATTGTATTAATAACTTAGAAAAATACCACCCAATTTGCTATTTTATATGTCTATATATAGTATTGTAAATTAAAAAATTATATTTATGACCGAATACATTAAAAGTTGTTTATGCGGAAAGTTGAGAAACGATTTTGCGAGAAGTTATAATCCCCAGACTAAAGTTTTATTTACTTTTAGACAATCTTTAACCACAAATACTAAACAGTGTAACTTTCAGTCAAATGTGGATGGATTTTTGGTGTGTTTCACTCTTGCATCTCAACCTATTGTATCAATATACACTAAAATAATATTTCTTTGAATTTTTTTTTTCTATTCATAATCATAATTTATTGTATTTCATTAATGTTTTGTATATATTATAAATATTGTGTATTACGTTTTTATTAAATAATAGAACTTGAAAATAACTAATTTAATAAATAAGCATTCATTAATCAAATAAAACATTGCATTTAAGAATATAAAACAATGGACATCAATTAAAAGTGTCACAAAAAAATTTAAAAAAAGTAATTCATATTGTTTTAGTTTATTGTATTTTCTTTTACTTTTAGTGTTTTAAAATAGTGTATACTTTGTTTTTTGAAATATTTAATATTTGATAGACGTTTTAAGATTGCCGAATGAGTGTATTTTGATTTTTCACTCATTGTTTCTAATATAATATTCATGAATTTATTTATAATATTAATAAAATAATAATCCAGAGTACATACATACAATGAGATTAACCACCCAATGGGATGGACCTCTCTATAGTAAGTATTCTATTCTATGTCGCCTAGTTCTAAGCTATACAAACAACAGTCAGCCCTCTCCACAAGCCGGGGTTACTTTGAAGTTTCTGGTCTCTACGAGCCAGGTCCCTCGACGAATGAGTCCTTTACTGTTTTCAAAAGACAACTCCATGAGGTGGGTCATATCACAAGATTAAGTTAATTGGGCGTTCAAACCCATTAAATCCATATGCATACCCAAAATAAGACTCACAATCTTAATATTTTTCTTAGTTTCATCCAAGATTCCTAATCTTACATGAAACTAGTAATCCTATTTTTAATGGATAAACTCAGTGACTTTCTATTTACTTAAACTCCTAAACAGGACGCAAAGTCCTAGTAGGACGATTCAACACGCTCCTCAAGCTCATT